GGAAATATCACGATCGAAAGTTTCGGTTGTTTTTGAAACTTCGGCCGGCTATTACGGCTTATTCTGGCAGAGTTTGGGGTCGTGTGACCTGTTAAAATGCTCAGCTCGTCGAAAGCTTTCCATTGACACCAGCTGTGTAAAAAACGGAGGCCTGAATCTCAAAGTGAGATTTTGGCCATGGACGATTTCATTTTTGAGAGAGAACGTTCGAGAGAAGAGAGAAACAAACGCGTGAGAAGAGAGAGAGAAAGTGAAACTTTAGAAGTTATCCTTAAAAACTCTTTCTAAACAGATATAATTTATTCTAGCTGGAGATTATTTACTTCACCGACAAAAAATTTAATTCTTCGACGAGTTCTCTTTTATTATTTACTTACAGTCCAATCTTAATATAAGAATAATTCAATATTATTTTATATTCTTAATTGTATACTAAATTGGACTATTTCAAGTCTTAAAACTATTTTTAGGCTCAATAGTCAAAACTTGACTCTTTTTATATTTTTTCTTCTCTCTCTCATAACCATATCTCGTAACTAATATCAAAGCTTAACATTATAAGCCATGTACTTATATTTTCTTATGAATCTATCGACGTAATTATGAAAAATTCTTAATTAATTCTACTTATTAATTATTGAATTTTTCCGGATATTACACCATGAGCCTAGATTAAGAAAGAACATATGTTTTGTTCAATTTTATGTTGGAATCTGTGTTCAAGAATGTAAATCTTGACTCTAGGTACCGAAATTAGAAGTAGAACGAGTTATTAAAAACTAGGGAAACGAGAAAAATAAGGCGAAACTCTGTCAAAATTTAGTTCGAGTAATTTGAACTAAAACTGGATTTCAAGAGGAATATGAGATTAAAGTGTGAAAAGAAAGATGTTTCGATAATCGGTGATGGTTAGAAACCGAACACAACGAGAATTCACAGTTTTGGACCAAAAGTGAAAATTAGGCCCATGACTGAGTAATTTGCACAATTTTAGTGCAAATCCTTGAGATAGGAAATGGTTTGAGGTTGAATACCAAACATAAGGATTGTAGACTTTTCCGAAGTAAATTTCAATGTAATTATTGATCTTAGATTCTGAATCTAACGATAAAAAAATTTATGCAATAGGGCCGATTAACGATTGAAGTTGGAAAGCGTCAAGGGAGACAAAGGACGCGTTGTTAGCGAAACTTTGGTAAGTACAAAGTTTTTCTGTGGCTATATCACGAACAAGCTTACTTTCTATGTTGCGCAAAGATTGTGCATATAGTAGAATTTTGAATGTTAGATACTATGTTAGGTAAGTATCTACAAGACTTATGTAATCGTAAAACTTTATTCTGCAAAAAGTATGTATCGATGTTAAGTCGACATCAAACTAAGAGAAATGAAATGTTAAACTTTAACGAAAAGTTAATCTCATGATAAAATGCTCAATAATGCACAAATTCATAAGATTTAACTAAAGTTACCGTTTTAATGAGAAAATTGATAAACGGTAAGAGACTAAACGTCCTGTTTGTACCAGCCTTCGAAGGAAAGATTATTATGAGACTATGAAAGATATGAATCCGTGACTGAGTTGGATTGGTTAGCTACCCTACTCCTCACTGGTTATGCGTGCTATGGTACAATAGGCCAGGGCCCCTAAGAAGTAAAAGACAAGAAAATGAAACACGGAAACCATTCCATATAAAGATATGGTATCCGTAAACAAGAATGAAAAGAATGAGAAACACAGAACGAAAGTCATTTAGAATTCTGTACTAGGCTATATGACATGAATGCATATATGGGTATGCATAATTATTGCATCTGTTATGACCTATTGATACTTGCTGAGCAAAGCTCATTAAGTTTGTTCGTGTTGTAGGAAGCACGGGTAAGGCACCGGCTCCCTGAAACTTGATGCTGGGCATGCAGAGAGGGTGGCACAGCGGAATGTGGGCAAGTGGGTTATGGACGCATCATGTGTTTTGGAAACGCTGCTGAACTTTATATGTAAAATAAAATAGTGTTTTATGTATTTTGATGACTAGTGTAATAGAATGTTGTCAGAATGCTACAGTATTTTAACGTACATGGTAAGAATGAAAAAAAAATGGCATGAAATTTTAAGAAGTTTTAATTAGGGTCATAGAGGTTAAAAAATGGTAAGTATGAGCATAGGATGATGACCAAAAGTTAAGGTCTTCACAAAAATTATATATATATATATATAAGTATCATAAGTAAGCGGATGTAAACATTTCTCATATGAATTTGTAATGGGGTGTTTCTTTCATAGGTTCGTCACTGAAACTGAATCATATTTCTTGATTCTTTGTAGTGTTTTTTTCTCACTAAAAATTTAAATTTCAAAAATCAGAATCATAAATCATGGTTTTGAACTCATAAACCAAACGTCTCAGAATTTTTTTGGATGTAATATGGAGCATGTTAGATGTAACATTATGATATATTACCTTTAATTGAGTTTTGTATACTTCTATAATGAGTGTTACACGAACACACAAATAATGATACACGGGAAGGAAAAAATTGTTATATTTGTCCAAGTGGTACGGCGGCCGAGTTAAAAAAAAGTAAATAGTAGAAAATATGCCAATATGAAAAGCTTATAAAAGTATATAGGCTAATTTTTAGTTATAGAAATTTATAGGCCATAACTTGTCAAGTTATTGTTCATAACCAGATAAGTTATGAACAAACTTGTCAAGTTATGGTTCATAGCCAGACAAGTTATGGACAATTATAAACAATAACTTGTCAAGTTATGGTTCATAACTAGTAATTTGGCCTATTTATTAACTTATGTAAACTATTGGCCGATTAATTTTAATTCATCTCAAGTCTTGGCCTATTTCCCTCTTTCTCCCTTAAAAAAATATATCCTATAGATATATAGGCATGTATATTATCTTTTAAACCAATCAAGTGTAAAAAACCTTGGTAAATGACTATATTAATTGGCTGAGATATTTAATCGGATTATTGACACATCTAGAAAGTTTTTTAGCATATTAGTTCTTCAACTTTCGACTTTTGACAGTTTGGTCACTAATACTAAAATTGACAAACAGTTTCAAAAAGTTCAATAATTCGAGGTCGTAAATGCCTCTTCCAAGTATTCAAGTTTGATGTCCTTGTTACCGATTTCAACCCCCCTTGCTCGATCATACCTGTCATCATCAACACAAGGAAAAGTCAGGAACCATTTTTATGTTTCTGGAAAAGTAAGGAACCACCCAGTTAGTGGAGCAAAGCCCTTCCAATACAAAATCCGCCAACAATGTTTGTAGATCATTTAATTAGTAGGAAGAGATAAATGTCATCACATCATCTGAAATAGGCATGGCATTATACCTTCTTCCTTAATTATCAAACTCTTTTCTACCTCTGTTCCTTATCCACTGTTTCTGTGAGCAACAACTATTGTACATAATTACTGCCACAATTAACATAACCTTTTTTTTTGTTTTTTTGTTTTTTTAGATATTAAGCTTACCCAGGGGGTTTTCCGTATTCAGTTGTAAGCTCTCCAAACCGATAGTACGATAGCTTGTACCTAATCAACAAAAAAATCTGAAATATTTATATGATAAGATACTAACTAGAACAAAAGGAAAATGAACTGAAAGAGTGAATCTTTATTGAAGAACAGTAATGAATCTCAATACAATCTTACAAGCACTAATAGCGGTGGTATCCGACGAGAGACCCCCAACTCTCCTCAGGTTACCCCAATTTTCATGAGCCAGACTCCCCCACATTAACAACTGAACCCCTTATTTATACTACTAACGCCCCCTGACTAAGTGCTAGCCATATTCTAACAAACTGCTAACTTCTGTAACTAACCAACTAACTAACAAGATCCTATCATTATAACAATGACCTGAAAGTATTTCTTCAATCAAAGGAACCAGGCCATTCTGGTTATTTCTTCGGATTCCTATTGTTTTTCTTAGCTCAACATACACATTTTGTCTAGAACAGAGGGAGTCCTAACAGTTTTGGTATCAGAGCACCGATCCATGGCTAACCAAACAGATCGTTTCACGTTGATGGAGAGGAGATTGAATGGGTTCCAGGACTCGCTGCAATCCTTCGGGGACATGGTGAGCCCAGTTCCTCGCCTCTAAGGGGACGTTGGGCACACGCCTCAGTGAAGTTCAAGGTGAGATGGCTTCCATGGGAACCAAGATCGACGGGCTCCAGGGCTCAATCGCGATACCCAAAAAAATCACACCATTACACCTCACTTTCACGACACTACAATCAGCCCATTAAATCAATCAATCTAATATTCTTTCTTCAAATAATTCTCCCATTAAATATGCAGTTATCTCTATGAGATTGCACCAAATCTCCCAAATCTTCTCTTACATTTCCTTGCCCAAATTTGCTTTCCATGATGCAAAACACTCCAAATCTAAAACAATTAGCCAGACAAAATCTCTTTATGATCACCAAGCGCTAATTCCCGATTGTATCTGTTTTTGAATTTTAACAACCCATTGACAAAACACTGCCAATTAATTTATATAGGGGCAAAAGCAAAAACCTAAAATAAAATAATAGTCAAGGCCCTTAGCAAACTTCAAATATTTCTTATCCCAAGCTAGCAGCAAAAAATGAGCTTCTTTCGGGTTTGCTTGTTATTGTGCCACTTCCGGCTCAATTAGGAACTAAGTACAATTTACCTGAATCCTTTATTCATTAAAATTCCTTGGAAATTGGACTAGATTAGGCAAATTATCTACTCAAAAAACACTCTGGAGATCGGAGAGCATTTCTAGAATATTATTGCGTAACTTTCAAATTATTTTACAATTGAAGTTGAGCTTTAAGTTTGATTAGGCAAACACAATTTGGGGGCCACTAAAAATGAGCAATCCTTAATGGAAGAAATTAAGAATCACGATATATTTTTTCTCATTAACAAAAATTTGTACAGAAAAGACAAATGTATCGAGCTGATACTAGTTTCACATTATAAAGATTATATGCGTTAAAGCTGAGCTGCATGAAATAGGCAATTCTGCTTTCAACTTCCTCTACGCTTGAGAAACTGCTTGTAGGACATACTTGAAAGATTTCTTGTAACTCAAGAAACCCATGAACCAGAAATCGAAGTTATCAACTGTTACTATTTCTATGTACTTCTGCGATGGTTTTTTTACATTCAAACTTTGGTTTACTCTCTTTATCTTGCTTACTGGGATCACAACCTGCAAAACCCATGAAGAACACTCAATTTGTTAGTACTATACATAGGAAGAAATAGATCAGAGATAGATTGATTGTATTAAAATTAGACTAGTTGTGAATGCTACCTTATAACGGGATCTGATTATTTCTCCATTATGCGAGGAAAACTTGATCGACTTTCGGCTGCAAAACGCAATCTTTTCCGAGGAGATGAAGAGAAGGCCAGCTAGAGGACCAGCTGTAGTCGACAAATAGCATTGAGAAGCCTTTAGTAGTTTCTCTCCTTCTGTGACCCGAAATAATTGCTTAAATATTTTCTCGAATCCACCAACTTGAAGAAACCGAGCTCCGAAGCTTAGCTTCCGTTTCACAGTTTCAGCGATCTTAGCCCCTAGTCCGACTGCAATTGCAACAATATAAGTAAAGTTCAAGAAACAATTGTCAGAATGAAAATTTTAAAATTTGAGTAAAAATTCACCATGCAATAGACCATTTTCACCATGCGCTATACTGTCAGCTTTGTTCCCAAGTTTGTTCATTCTGTTTAGCGCTAAATCTACTCTTCCTGTAATACCATGCAATAGACCATTTTCATTAGTGAGAAACAATATTTGTTAATCATGTATGTATACAGATATAATCTATATATATATATATATAGAGAGAGAGAGAGAGAGAGAGAGAGAGTTACTTCTTTTCAAAGCAGAAGATCCATCTTCAGCAAACTGATTATTGTTGTATTGTGTAGCTGTATTAGTTAGAAGTGCCATTGGAGACCTCTTGTCTAATGGATAAGAAATCGAGTTGATTGCGATTCCAGTGATGTCCATTTTCGACGGGCCGCGAAATAAAATGATTATAGCACACGAAAGCTATTGATCAGTTGATTGCTATTGAGGTATTCGTCAAGAGATGTCCATTTAAAGTGGCATAAAAGCAATAGGTGAATCTTTAACTTTTTGGTGCCTGAGTCATCAGTGGCTCAGCAATGAGTATGAAGGCAAGACATATGACTCCTTAAAGATAATCTTTTTTGAAAGAAAAAAGACGGTCAGAAGATGGCATGTTTGCTAATTTGCTTTATGAGAAGACAATGTGGCATGTTTGCTAATTTACTGAATTAGGTCAGTTTCTTGTTGCATAAGAATCCCTTGGTCGTGAAATTTAAAGATGGAATAGAATATACTACGGCCCTCCATTTAGAATCATAGGGAAAAGTATCTATATATTTTTAACGTCTAAAGAACTTTATGAATTATATTGATCAATTGAAGTTGTCACATAGTTCATGATATATATTGTATTGTGTTTTAAAGGGTGCACAACAGGACAAAATGGTGTTAGTTATTCTTATTTTTGAATTTGGATCAGAAGCAAGATTTCCTGAGGGGTCAGTTTGTTAGAAATTCCTTTGAAGACAAGAGGTATTAGTAAGAAGGCTCATTTCCATGTAGTTTTATTTATGCTATGTATTTAAAAAAAAAAAAAAAAAAAAAAAAAAAAAAAAAAAAAGG